CTTGGCAGAGTCTCGCCGTGACCCTGGCCATGCTGCCCACCTCCAGCACCTCTGCAGCTCTGCCTCTGCCTCCAGGACGAGGAGAGGAGGTGGATATGGGCAGGCAGCAGGCTCGGGTGGAGCCAAGGACTGCCCCGAGTGCTCCAGCAGCCCTGCAGGGAGGAGGCACCAGGAGAGCAAATATGTACCAGGGGACAAAGGCTGGCATCACGGGCACTGCCTGCTGCTGCTCCCATGGTATTTGCTCTTTTTGCTGTCCCTTTTTAAAATACTCTTTTTTAGCCAGAAGCCAGGGAGAACTTTTTGCAGGCGCACCTGTTACCAGATGGAAAGAGACTGTGTGTATTCCGAGTGCTGAAAGTCTGGTTTAAGGGATCAGTCCTTTAAAAATTCAGGTGAAGATGGTTCAAAACTCCTTTCCTCCTTCTGAAATGGGACTCTATGCTTTTGGAGGGTTGTACAGCCACAAGACCTGGAGCTGGATATCTATTGCTACAGTTTACATGGCTATGGAGATGCCATGGAGTTTTAAAGCTAGGGAAAATCAAAAACCAATTCTGGCTTTAATGACATTTTCTTAAAAAGACCCTCTTTGGTACTCTCAAAGGAGTATGAATTTATAATTTAATTTATTAGCAACAAGAGATGTGAAGTTGAGAGAGCTATAGCTGGCCACTTGCAGAGGCCAAGGATACAACCGAGGAGTATGACCTAGGCCAAAAATGGGAAATTGTTTCACTGGATAGGAGTGAAGCTGCTAAGCCCTGCTACCCCTCTCCCGTATCACTTTAGGCAGAAGTCACTAAAATGTCCCCGTCTATAAAAACAGGGTGTGGTCTCAGCTAGTGAGAGATTACCCATCATATTTACAGTCTTCTGGTGGTGTTTCCTGCATATAAAATTTTCACAGGCTGAAAACAAAGAAAGCCTTGGGTGCAAAAGGCTTTATAGACCTTAGGAAATAGTGGTTCCTATTCTTGTAGAAGAAAAACTCCATTTCTACCCTAGCAACCCCATTTTGTAGTGACACAGGGGGCTGCCTTTGTAGATTTAGGAACTGAAGGAGGAAATATTTTCCATGGAGCACAGCTGCTCTCTGCTGTCATCCTGTGGAATGGCTGGGATTTCCCAGCTGGGAGCTGGGTAAACAGTAACTTTGTTTGCCAAGGAGCACGTTGGATGACTACCTCTAGGTAAATTTAGACAGAAGGTGTGGGGAAGGGAAGAGAGAATTTTTAAGGAATGAAACTGGTGAGATAAGGAATCCAAACAGAGGCTAGCCGGGTTGCTTGTCCACAAATATTTGAAGAGAGTGAATGCAGAGGAGGAAACAAAATTACTTGTCAGTTCTAGGCAGTGAAGGCTGGGCTGAGGGAATTAATATATCAGTTACCCCAAAATTAAACTAATTCTGTTGAAATTGAGTAAAGAAAAAGAGTGGCCAGCATTTTATCCCTGTTGCATTTCAGTACTTCCAGGCATGTCTGTGTACTGAAACCGAGTGAGGAGTGGAATAACAAAAGGTTGAGGGGAGGTTTTTTTTATTTCCAGGGTGGATTTGTTTTCCTGCCAAAAAAACCCACTTAGGGGTACCCACTTTCTTTGCTCATGAGGCAGAATATTGCTTTCTTCTCCTACCCTGCATCAGTGCCTTGTGCTGAAATTCCCTCTGTTCCTGTGGTCTGGAAGACTGCTCCTAAATTGATGCAATGAAGCTGCAAGTTTGGCAACATTGTTCATGGAAAAGTGGAGTGTCCCAGAAATTGGAAAAGTTCATTTTGAACAAATGAAATATACTTGCATGTACTTTTTGAGACCTAAAATTGTTACACTGTGTGCTCTGCAACACCAGTTGCCACTTTCAGGAAAGAACATGAAATCTTGCAATATCAAAGGAGATCAATTTGGCAAGCTTTGGTCCATATCCCTGCACTTCATTGCATCCCATGCCTTTTCACAACTTTCACTTCGGCAAAGAGTTTAAAAATTTATTTTCAGTATCCATGCATTTTTACTAATATCATTCCCTCAATGTTCTGTCTTCCTCCTTGATTTTTACCCCTGATTTTGCAATGTCTGTGAGGTTAATTTTGACATTTAGTCCTTTCCACTGCAACTGATTTAATCTTGGTCCATTTATTTGTGGTCACTTAATTTCAAAATGTTTTTCTTTTTTTTCTTTTTTTTTTTTTCCAATTGCATTTTATTTAATCATATCTCCTTTCCAGAGTGGTTGTAAGGTTTACTTTTCTGTTTCCAAGATTTCACTGAGGATCAATATGGCAAGCTTTAGTGCATATCCCTGGACAGTCCATGCCTTTTGATTATTTTCATTTCAGCAAAACTTTAAATTTATTTTTTTTCAGTAAGCATGCCAATCCATTAATATCTTCCTCTCGATGTTCTCTCTTCCTCCTTGGTTTTTTCCCTGTTTTTGCAGCATCTGTGAGATTAGTTTTGGCATGTTTTGGTCCTTTTCTCTGCAACTTATTTCCTCCCAGACCATCTTCTTGAAGTCATTAAATTGCCAAAGGTTTGTTTTGGTTTTTTTTCAATTGCACTTTATTTCATCATATCTCCTTTCCAGAGTGTTTATAAGGTTTCTTTTCTCTTTTCAATATTTCATTCCTTTTCTGAAATTGCCATTTCAATGGGGATCAATTTCACATACTTTGGTCCATACCACTGCACTTCAAGGCATCCCATGCCATTTGATGGTTTTCACATTCAGGAAAGGAAACAAAATTTTGAAAACAGAAAAGAAAGACTTACAAACACTCTGGAAAGGAGATATGATCAAATGAAACACGATTTAAAAAAANAAAAAAAAAAAAAAAAAAAAAAAAAAAAAAAAAAAAAAAAAAAAAAAAAAAAAAAAAAAAAAAAAAAAAAAAAAAAAAAAAAAAAAAGGAAAATTTAGTGACTACAAGAAAATGGACCAGGATTACATGACTTGCAGTGGAAAGGACCAAAACATGCCAAAGTAACCTCATAGATGCTGCCAAAATAGGAGAAAAAATCGAGGAGGAAGAGAGAACATTGAGGGGAAGATATGAGTGACACAGCATGGATACTAAAAAAAAATATAAAAATCTTTGCTGAAATGAAAGCTATCAAAAGGCGTGGGATGCCATGATGTGCAGAAACATGACCAAAGCTTGCCAAAATTAACCCTCATTGGAATTTTGAAAACAGAAAAGAAAGATTTACAAACACTCTGGAAAGGAGATATGATGAAATGAAATGCAATTTAAAAAGAAAATTGGGAAATTTAGTGACTACAAGAAAATGGACCAGGATTACATGAGTTGCAGTGAAATGGACCAAAACATGCCAAAACTCACCTCATAGATGTTGCAAAATCAGGAGAAAAAAATCAAGGAGGAAGAGAAAACATTGAGGGGAAGATATGAGTGACATGGCATGGATGCTGAAAAAAAAAAATTTAAAATCTTCACCAAAGTGAAAGCCATCCAAAGGCATGGGATGCCATGAAGTGAAGGGATATGAAGCAAAGCTTGCCAAAATGATCCCCATTGAAATCACAAGATTTTGTTTCCTTTCCTGAAAGGTAGAGGTGAGCAGGCTCTGCAGGGTGAACCTTTGTGCATCACCAGAGTGTAACAGGGAAAGAAGATGAAAGGTAGGATCACCTCCCCTCTGGAGACAGCCTGAGAGAACAGAGGTTTATCAGTCTAGAGAAGAAAAGGCTCCAGGATGATCTTAGAGGACCTTCCAGTTCCTAGAGGCAGCTACCAGAAAGCTGGAGAGGGAATTTTTATAGGGTTCATAGTGATAAGACAAACAGGAATGTATCTTCAGACTGACAGAGGGGAGGTTCAGATAACATGAAGTAGAAATTCTTCACTGTAAAGATGGTGATGCCCTGGAACAGATTTCCCAGAGAAGCTGTGGATGTCTCGTCCCTGAAGTGTTCAAGGCCAGGTTGGATGAGCCTTTGGGCACCTTGTTCTAGTGAAAGGTGCCCCTGTTCATGATAGGAGGGTTGAAACAAGATGATATTTAGGGTCCCTTCCAACACAAACCATTCTATAATTCTATAATACAATCAGATTTTAATGATGAATTTCACTTTTTATATTTGGAAAGAGGCTGAGGACAACCCTTTTCTCTGGGGGAGGCTTGGACCAGGTGGCCACCCAATGTGCCCACCACAACTATTTGATTCTAGTGATTTGTCACAGCACTTCAAATCCGTTTTCCAAGCTTGATTAGCAACAGCATGATTTATTTTGTGTAGAATATGATACACAAGCACCATCTAGAGGATATAAAGGAGATGATGATGACTGTAGTTGACTACAGCAACAGCTGACAGCTGTATTACAGGAGGAAAAATTTTTAAGGTTCTCCATGACTCAAATACTGCTGCTGAAGTGGCAATAACCCCTAGGGTTAATAGTTATAACAATTATTCTGACTTTAGTTGCCCCTGGGATTTGCATGTTTTTGCCTGTCTCTTCTTGCTTTCCCTCTCCTCCTTTCTTGATGATAGCAAAAGGATGAGGGGGAATAAAGAACCAATTAAACCAGAAAAATACATCACCTGAATTTCAAAGAAGAGACTGAAAATTCCATACAGTCAGGACTGTTCTGTATATGGGGAAATCTTTAGAAGAAAATAACTGCCAATTACCCAGCCGTTTCAGATACATTTCTAATATAGAGCATTAGAGAGAAATAAGAGGACTCTCCTGTACTGCATCACTTGGCTGATGAGGATTAAATTTGCTTTACTGTGTGGCAACCACATTTCTCTCTCTCTCAGGATTTTTCTTAGAGGTGCACAGAGAGAAAGAAAGAGAAAACCATTTCTATTTCTGCTCCTTGTTTTTCCTATGTGGAATGTGTTTGGAGAATTGTTTACCTGGGGTGATTTCTTGATTGGATTCTGGAGAGGTTTGTTTGACCCTGATGGCCAATCCAACCCACCTGCAGGTGGACTCGAGAGATAGAGAGTCACGAGTTGTGAGTTAGATATGGTGGTTAGAGAAAGTAGGTTTGTAGTTTTAGTATCTTCCTTGATATAGTATATTAATGTATTATAACATAGTTATAATAAGGAAATCATTCAGCCTTCTGAACTGAGTCAGATGTCATAATTTCTTCCTGTCGGGTTTGCCTGCATTTACAATATTACTGTACTGTACAGCACAAAAACAGATCAGTTTCATTCTGAGAGCTTGTCTTCTCATATTCTAGATGTATTGGTTCCTACCCACCCTATTGCTGTGAAAATTGAATGACTATCAATAGGAAAATGTAACACCACAGAAGATGATTGGGAGCTAAGAATGTTCCTAAATGTTTGTCTCTAAGATTATCATTTTAGAGGTTGCAATATTTTATCTGAGTGTTTGGGGTGGGAAGGGTTGCTACAAGAAGCCTGGCAGTTTCCCTGTTGGGAGACACATCTAAAATTAGCTCTGATGCTGCTTGGTTGTTTTATAAAAGCCACAAAATTGTTGGTGCCTGAGGAGGAGGAAGATGATATCCTGCAGAAGTAGTGCCTGCACCTAGGTGTGAAGCTCCACAGCATGAGTTGGGCTGATCCAGAATGATGGCTCAGCACTGGGAAGGACAGCTGGATTTTGCAGGATGACCCAGATCTTTCTGACACCTCACACTGAACTGGCCAGGGCTGGAGCCAGCTTGTGATGTTGGGAAAAGCTCAGTACCTCTCCAGATCCCAGCCTCAGGCAGGAAAGCAATTCCCTTCCTCATGAAACATCACTTCTGCTACTGCAAGCCTCTTGCCCTGGGAAAGCACCCTCATCCTCATCAGGAGGGGGCAGCTCCTGGGAAGGAGAACAGGAGCCCAGAAGGTGCATGGGCCCATTCCTCCCTTCCTGAGCTGCTGGCCATTTGTTCCCCAGTATCCATGTACAGAGAAAGGACAGGGGAGCAAGAGAGAGGAGGGATGATGCAAAGCAGAGCAGCTCTGGGTTACCCACAATTGCTGAGTGTGGACACAGGGAAGGAGAAACCATCCTGCCTGAAACTCCATACTGTGAATGGCAGCTGGATGCTCCGTATCAGGAGCCAGCATGAGCTGCTGCAGCAACAGCTGAAACCACCCACAAAATGTGAGCTGGGGACTTCTTTGAAGAGCTGCACGTGTGCAAGGAGATTAAGAAGAAATCCGATTTCTTTTTCCTTCTGAAATTACCTGGAGTTAGGGAGACAGAAGTGGGTAACTATTGGTGGAACTGCTACTTTCACTTAAGAGCATTACACTGGTCTCATAGTCAAATGGAAATCATCTCTTTCTTTAAAGAAAACGGGCATGTTGTGTGAATATGTAGAAAATTAAGGCATAGTGCTCAAAATAACTTCCTTCCCTCCAACTGTGGATTCCCATCTACATCTGCTGCTGGGCTGGAAGTGGAAGCAGTTGACTCACCTGGCTGCAGAGGACTTGGTGGGCAGGGGCTGTTCAGATGGCTGTTGGGACAGCCAACTTCCCAGATAACAAGAGAAATTCTGTATTACACCAATATATCCTTGTTCTGCCAATAAACTACATGGGACAGCATGGTCCCTATATGTTTGGGACCAGTCTAACAAGCCTGGCTGGCAAATATGCATTTTCCCTGCATTGCCCAGGTACCTCTCCCCCTGCTTAATTGAATCGTTGCTGGTTCAGTTTCTTTCTGGCTTTGCTCCCTTCTGTTCATCTCATTTTCTGTTTGGCTCAGTCTCAACCCTCATTGCACCACAGAGACTCTAAGAAAACTCTGGTAGCTCTGACTGAGCAGAGCAGCCACATAAGAGTTCTTGCACACACTTGGTCTTGATTGTTGTCCAGCAGAGGCTCTCAGCTGCCAGCAGATTCCAATGTGGTCTGTGAGTATCATCTATGGGGCACATAAGAGATGGCTGAGAAAAACAAAGTAATTATATGACAAATTTTCAACCCAGCTCAAACTTCTGCATCTGCTGGAAAACAGCTAGAGCAGAAGAGTTCACAAAGCAAAACTGTGAGCGAAAACAGTTGCTTTGAACTGGCTCTGGTTTCCTTTAACCCTGACTCTTGTAAAACCAGTTTGACCTGTGGCAGCTGTACAGATTCGAGCCACTGCGTGGAGCCAAAGAAACACTTTTTGAGCAGCCCTACAGCTCCCAGATCCCTCAAGTCAGGATGACCCACCGCCAGTTAAACTCCCAGGTGGTGAGGGGACATGCTGTTGTCTCCTGGTCCAGGAGATGGCCTTGCCTGTGAGATAACTCAGCAGTGCTTGAGAAATCTAAACAGCTGAGCAAAACTATCCTCCAGTGCCACTCTGTGTCCTGCTTGAGCTTCAGCACAGCCGTGCTGGAGACCTTGACTAAAAGCACACCTCAATTGAATGCATGTAACATTACTGGATCTGCTTCCAGCTTTCCACGTGTGTTTGATTTCCCATGTGCTGCTAAAAATACCAACATTCCCTTTATAAAGAGAACCTTTCTGACCCATAGGGGACAGGAGACATCTTCAAAGCATAGCAAAGTTGGATGGTGCCTTCCAGATTTGGACAACCAGGTGGTATCAGGGCTGTTTTCTTGCATGGCCATGATCTACACAGACAGGTGCTGCTCAGACCATTCATGTCCAAATTCAAAAAGACTTTGTGGGCCTCCTCTGCTGCACTGGGAACTGAATGGGCAATGCTTAGCTCTTTTTCTTGTTTAATGGCAATGGCTTCCCATGAATTGTGCAAGTAGGACCTGTGCTGAGCTTAGGAAGAGGAATAATAAATGATGAAAGTGCAAAACTAGCAAGCAAACAGACAGTGGTACACAATGGTTTGGAGCACAATATATCAGCAGTGAAGGAAAACTGCCCACCACATCTGAGCAAATGATACTGCCAATGATTTTAGGTTCTTTAAGCATTTTTCAAGCAATAATGCTAATTTTAATCAGATAGAATGGCTCTAAACCACTGTTTTATGCCTCCAGGACTTGGAAAACTGCAGAAAGAGGTGCCTACCCTTCCAGGGAAGCTGGGCAGCCACTGTGGGCAGCGGGTGCAGCATGAAGGGCTCCCAGCCTCTGTGTGCTGCCCAGGGAACACTGCCTGGCACCAGCACATCCTGAGTCAGACTTAAAATATGAAACAAATGGTTTGAATCCTCCCTTGGAGAGCTGCTGTTGTATGTGGGTGCCAGCAGCAGCATTTCAGCCATTCTTGGCAGCAACTCACTGCCAGATTAGAGACACTCTCCCCCGACACCATATGTGTGTGTGTTTTGGGGAAGCTTGGGGGGAACCTCACTGTTTGTGGTTTGGGCTGTGTGGGGAATGCAGGTGGATTTGCTGTGGTGACTGCCAGCAAATCAAGCTGTAAGTGATCTCTGTTATTTTCGACGTTTAATGCTGTAACAAGGTGATAACATGGATACAGACATACCATAGTGAGATTTAAGCCATATTAGGTTTTCCCTTCCTTTATTTTGTTTGTTTGTTGGTTGGGGGGGGGGGTTGTTGTTTGGTTTTTTTTCTCCTAAACTTAGAGAATTGATATGGATAGTTCTGGCCTTTACACAAAAAATACCAACTTTTTTGAATTGACGGTACCCGTGGCAACAGGGGAGCCAGGAATGGCGCAGGTATGAAGCCGATGAGGCACCCGAGCCAAGCGGGGATGAGGCG